TATATATATATATATATATAAATGTATGTACACACAAAAAATGTTGAGATTTGGTGGATGTAAAATTAGATTCTTTCTGAGAATAGAATACCGGAGGCTATGGCTCCTTTGATGCTGTCTGTGGCAAATCTTGCATCTGCTGATTTACCTTTTGAGAACCTTGCTTACTTTCTGGTAAAATCTTTGTTACCATTCTCTGATACCCAGAGAAAAATAAACAAAAATTTCCCAAATTTCTGTTTTATTCAGTTGTCTGTCATGTTTGCAGTTACTGTTACTGATAGTTGTTATTTAATAAAGCCACCAAGATTTGTCTGGATGCCTAGTCAGTTTTGTGTAGCTGCATCTCTTGTGAAACTGTTTGAAACGTGTCTTGGCTAAGATTGTAAGTCTGTAAGTAAACAGGAAACACAACTGTTCCTAAGAAGGTTGAACCATGACCTTCATGTAATCTGTGAGAATACTGTCTTAACAGCAAAGATACCTAATGGCAGGTTGCTGTTTAATCTTTAGAATTGATCTTCAGTGATCTGGAGCAAAGTGTTTCTAATGTAAAATTCAAAATCCAAGTGCTGTGTTGAGCAAAGCCTCCAATGCTTAAGTTACCTTCTTTTTTTCTGCTTCAAAAATATTATAAACTGGTAACTTTACAGATTTGTTTATGACGTAATAGAATTGAATGTTGCTATGCACTTGGAACTTCCCTTGGAGTAAAGTTAACTTGCTAGTTGTTGACATGTCTTCTGAAGTCTTTGAAGAGTAGTCTTTTAAAAGATGGATGAGCCAACATATCTTCACTTTAAAGCTCTCTCACATTAGCATTTTGTGTCTTATTGTCCATGTGGTGATTTTATTCACTGAGAATACCAAGTACTTTTAAATTGGAATATTTCATTATGTCTTCATTGTTCTTTGTAATTGTTACTGCTTCCTTCTACGCCTACCTCCCTCCCAGATCCCTCCTAAATATAATCAAACACACACAGAGCCTCCCAATTATACGACCAAACCACTGTTTGGAAGGCAGACATAATCATTCTCAAGACAGTACTTGGTACTGAGTTTTGCCAAGCCACATATTGCTTGTTCCTGTATTTTTCTGAGATTCTAAACATAAGAGAGTCTATGATGCTTGTTGTATGTTTATTTTATCCACTGAATAGTTTACATTTTTTTCAAAACATAGGTCGACTGTACCCAGCATTACGAAGTCTGCTCTGAAACCCAAGTTCGTGGCTATCCCACACTCTTCTGGTTTAGGAATGGTGAAAAGGTGAGTCTGCAGGCTCAGCAAAAGATCAGACTTTTTTTTTTCAACTGAATAATACTTAGACTGTCCTTGCATCCTGGGGAAAAAAAGATAAATTGGACATATACAAAAGTCATGTTATGAGAGAAAAAGTGTTGGAGGGTCAGTCAGGTACTGGAAGAGATATACTGTGTCCACAGATAAAAGTTAGAGGTTTTTGCTCTTTGTGCTTTGCAAATAATTGGTGTGATGTTCATAAATCTGTAAGCAGTATCACAGTATGCTACTGTGAGAGAGAATTCTGGGTTTACTTTATCTATTATTACCTTATCTGCTATGCAACACAAAAACATAGATGAAAAAGAAATAATAGAAAAGTGTGTCATTTTCACAATATGTATCAGAAGATTCTCATCTGTAAGTGGTGCTTATCTGCTGAGTAATGTCTGAGTGATGCAGATTTTCCTTCTGAAGAATCTGTATCTGAACACTGTGAATGTGAGTCCTGTGGGCTCAGTTTACATTTTTCCTTGTAGCAGTTCAAAGAATTACAATATTCTGAAGTCGTGGGGAAGTAAAATATTTATAATACTGTGTAAATGAACAGCAGAAAATAAACATTATTGAAAATAGTGTAACTTAGCCTATGTTTCACACTTTCAAGATAAGCTAAATGCATCAGGTGAATATTAAAAATAGGTCTGCAAGCAGAGAACCCAGGACACCTCTTTCAGCTCTTACCCACTAAGTTTTTTTGAGGGGTTAGTTTTTTGTCCCATTCATCTAGCATTCCTTTTTGAACATCTACAGTATCAGAGATGAACGTTTGCTACTCAGTCCAGTTTAGTGGCTGTTACTTGTGGCAATTTTCTGGTACTCTAAAGAGAATGTGGCCATTAGTACGTGCCAGTGCATGTGAGGTTTGGTATAAGCATCCCTCTAAGATCAGACACTCCAGGGAATTTAAATGAAGCAGCACCTGGATTTTTTGAATCCAACCTGATTGATGCAGGAAATACACAGCATTGTTACTGCTTCAGCAGAGCTGCCTGGCATGTACCAGAAGCAGAACTGGAAGCTGAGGGAGTCCTCAAGTCAAACATGGTGGCATGTCCAAGGTTAGAGGTGTTTTCAGTTCATTAAACTTTTGTCTGTGGCATGCATCTGAAGAACAAGAGTTGTTCTGCTGTTTCTCCAGAATGGTTTTCCACCTGCTTTATTTTTATTTTTCAGATAGCTGAAAAGCTGATAGTTTCAGATACCTTGCCAGAACCATACTGTCTTGATCTAGAAAAGATCACTGTGTTTTTTTCTTGATGAGCCACATCAGGGTTTTTTCTGACCCTTTGTAATTATTGAAGTTTGTGTTGCTCAGAGTTATTTTAATCACAAGTACAGTGGAAGAAAAAGGCAGATCATTGCTGTTGTATTTAGTAAAGATGAATCTCAGCTGTCAGTCTGAAAAATGTATTTCTGTTGACATCAAACTGGCTTTTCTTCATTGACAGTGTGGAATCATATGGTCCTTCATGGGCTGGTAGAATATATTTTAAAAACCACAAAACAACCCCAACTTTCCAATAATCTGTCTCAGAAATTCCTGGAAACCTCTCTGGCTGCTATTACACTGTTCTGTACAGGAGGGGAGGAGGAGGAGAAACTGCCTCAGCCTTCCAGAATTGTTGTCCATAATGCCATCATCCCCTTTGTCATAACGGGTCTGGCATCACACCATCCCTCTTGGTTAGATGCAGCAGAAACCCTGGGAGGAATGAATGGGCCCTGCCCCTGCCCTGCTGAAATGGATACAAACAAGAAGGTACAGGCTATTTGCATCATCTTGGATTAATGCCTTTGTGATTCAAACCCAGTGTGGGGAAGGTGGCTCATTACAGGTAACCTTACCAGTGACAAAAGGAGGAAAACGTGTAGAAGGAGTCCCAAAGGTAGAGGAAACAGTTACAGAGGTGTCTGTTCTTCCCTCCAGCGTATGGGAGACTGAATGCGGTTTCTTGAAGAGTTACTCCTTATCTGAGAGAGGAGATATGTCATGTAGCCCACACCTCATGGGACAGAAACACAGGCGTTTCATCCAAAATGGATGTGTAGTATCTCGAAGAGATGATCTCTCTTTTGAACAGAGAAATTAGTACTAATTTTCACAGAGAGCACTGATGGGAATCACGCATGAGCCAGTTGGGAGATGGCTGACAGTGGATTTGGGGCTAGAAACTGCTGAGAGGTGCTCTGATTTCGTGTTCTCTAGAGTTGTGAAAGTACCCGAGATGTGGGGAAGCATCTAAAGCAAACTCTAGCTGGTTGAGAGCTCTATATGCAGGTTCAAAAATATCACTTAACTCTCCTAAGAGCGGTGCTGTTGGAGTTGCCTGCCCTGCAGCAGGCAGCTGTTGTCTCTCGCTCCCAGGTGAACTTGGATGCCCAGAAAGCACTTCCTTACTGTCTGGGTTTTCCAAGGATGGCTGACAAGTGTGTGGGCCAGGAGAGTGACTGTGTTGTCAGGTGACGCACAAGTCAAGTCTTTCAGCCCTTGGAAAGCACTGAGTAGAGCTCTCGTGGTAACAGAGATGCCACCAGACAGCGATGGGCATTTTGTTGGTCCTTGCTGTAGCTTTAGGTTCAGAAAAGTAAAACTTTGCAAATGCTGACTAGAGGGAGATATGAAGGTCAAAGTGGAAAAGTTTCAAGCAAATTTTAGATTGTTCCCCTTTTGGTACAGAGGAATCTATGGCAAATCCTGATGACACAGAGTGAATGGAATGCCATGGAGACATTTAACAGCTAGATAATCGTATTTATTAATACACTTACACTTGGAAATCCTAGTTTTTCTAGCAATTATTTATTTGCTAGATAATTGCATATGCACACTTGCACAAAGTATTTCATAATTGTAGGGTGACCAGTACAAAGGGAAGAGGGACTTCGATTCGTTAAAGGAATATGTGGATTCCCAACTGCAGAGCTCTGGGAAAGAGCCACCAGCAGATAAACCTACTGAAGCCCCGCAGCCACCTGCAGAACCTGCCCATGTTGAGGTAAGTGCTCCTGCGCTCTGCAGCGACGTTAAAAAGCTTTCAGACTGCTTCAGCAGCCAACCTGAGTCTTCCATGTGTTTCTCTCTGATAGCTTGACAATTTCTAGCTGTAAACTGTACCAAATGCTTTCCTAGTTATTTTTATAGTAATTTATAAGTGGAATCAGACCATAAATCCTAGTGGTACTTCTACTAACCTGATGAATTGGAGAAAGGAAAAAAAAAAAACCCAACCCAACAAACTGGCTCCTTTTTTATGGTTGCAATAAGTTGTTTGGATAGAATGGCATAAATGTGGTCTTTTTCGGTCTGTGGAACTGCTGGCACTTGAGTCTGTATGACAGCGTATTTCATCGCTATGGAGATGAATGTTTCTTGCAAGATTCTCGCGTGAACCCAAGGGGATGGCACACGCTGCTGAGCCCCTAAAAAAAGCCAGGGTTCTATACTTGCAGGCTATCTGCAGAAACAACAGACAAGCAAAGATGAAGTGATCTAAATGTGGCAAGGTAACAAGTCCTGTGACAAGAAAACTCCCTGGGTGTGGAGGCTTATTCTCATTTTGATTGTAGAAGCTAAAGGGTTATGAATGTTGCCAGGGAATTGGCAGGAATAACTTATCAACTTTGTACTTCATGTAATTTAGTTTTCTGTCTTTTTTCAATCACTTTGGCATTTCGTCTGCTATTTTTTTTGTAGCTGAATGTAAAATTGGTGAAGTTGAGAAATTAGGGCTGGTTTTCAAGCATACTTTTTCATGGAGTGTGGAAAACATTCTTCTGCCTGCGAAATAAGGGATGGTGATTTATGCTCCCTTGTGATGTAGAATGAACTTACGTAATTAAAAAGAAAGCATCAATATTATTAATATAAATACAGTTTATATGCAGCTTCTTACAGGAGAATATTACCTTTCCCAGTTGACTTTTCCAACAGCATTACTCATCTTGCAAAATGTGGCTTACCAAACATTATAGACAACATATATTTGCAATTTTCATACCCTTTTTTTTTTCTTAAATTAACCTCATATTTGGAAGATCCTAATAAACTGGTGTTAGTACAATGCAGAAAGTAATTAGTTGTCTTTCTATTTTTATAGAAATAACACAAACCACATGTGATGCAAATTCCCACTTACGCCTTGCATGCACCAGCACACAGACAAACAGGAAAGGATTGTGGGGGGATTTTTTTTGCCAAATAATAGCAGACACGGTGTAGGACTCAACTTGTCTTCGCAGCTTCACATCGCAGCTTTGGATGCCACCATTTCTTGATTGCTTATCTTCAGACATCTTGCTTCTGGTTTTGTTTTCATGAATTGAGAAACAAGGGGCTAGCCCATGTAGCCAGCACACACTGACTGCGTTTACCATCAGCAGCCCGCAGCTGCTGCCACGGGCAGCAAAAGCAGTGAGTTCTGACTCCCAGTTTCTGTCCCAGTGTTGAGCCCCTACAGGGGGGCCCAACATCATCTCAAGATGTCCTTGAGACTGCTCTCCTGCCAGACATCACTAATATCACTCAAAAAATGATCCAAATTGATTAAGGTAGAGTGACCAGCAGATGCTCAGATTATGTGATTGCATAAAATGTCCTTTCTTAAGAAACCAAGCTAAAATTGAGCTGTCTGATACTAGACTTATTTTTGTGGTTATATAGTCCACATCATTGCTATTCTGATAGTAAACTACAGATCATTAAAATTTGTTTTATTGTATGGATCATGGGAAAGACGTTATTTATGGTGTTTTCAGATTTGGTATGTTAGATTGTCAATAATGTTTGGAACGTTGGTTTAGATACCCAGTTAGGAAATTCAGAATAGAAGATGACATATTTACCGTTTAATTTTTTTCTTAATTTGATAATTGGTACCTATTTATTAATTAGTATAATTTCTGTTTTTCAAGTAATTTTTAGAGGTAATAACACTTGAATTTAATAACTTAATTTCATGAACTAACAATTACGTATTGTAAATATACCTCTAATATGCAATTTCAAGTTTCTTCTTGGCTTCTCATCATAAAACTTAGTGGGTTTAAACTAGAACTGATAATACTGCCAGTTGCAGTCTTGTTTTTGCTTTGCTTTCATTTGAATTTGAAGCTTTTATAGGCTTGAGATTTATTTATTTATTTGTAATCCCTCTCACTATTAAGGGTCTCACACACAGAAAAAAGAAGTTTGTTACGGTTCTGTGCTCTCATACAACGTATGGGACTGTAAGCAAAGTGCTATCCTCCCATCACTCCCATGACATTGCTCCTGATGTTATCAGGAGTAAAAATTCTTCCTGACGTTCATGCGAGTGCGACGTGGTGATGTTCTCCTGACAGGCAAATACGTGTTTCTGGTAACAGCTTTTTCCGTATATGCAACGCAGGGATAGAGCAGAGGGAGAACAGCTGTCAAGGCATCGCTTGTATGCCTCAAATACCTCATTAAACTCTCAGATGGCCATTACGTGCTTTAAGCCAACTCCTCTCAGCGTTGTTCCATGAAACATTTGCATGATAGTGTATTAAGATGAAGGTGATTTTTTCCAACAACTAAAAATTTGGATACAGGCAAATCCCCTGAAAACAGGGATGTTTTGTTTCTTCAATTACAGATGAGATTCAGTGTGAAATACACATTTCTCTACATCTACACATTCTCTACATCTTTCTATGGGGGAAAGCGACTGAGGGGTCGCAGCAAGGCGTGCTGCTTCTACTCTTGTTTATATTATCAATAATATTATCTTTTCCAGTTTGAGTTTCCCTTTCAGGTAGCTAAAAGCTCATTTGGCTGATGTTATGTATACAGAATGATTTGACTCCTTGTTTCGTTTTCTTTTTTTTTTTTTTTTTTTTTTCCGGCTGCAGTGCTTTCTCTCTCTGAAAAAGACTTCGATGCAACCATTGCCAGGGGGATCACCTTTATTAAATTCTTTGCACCGTGGTAAGATGTCTGCATCTGTTGTAAGCTATCAGTGCAGTAGTTGCTGGAGGTCTTTTGAGCTGTGTGTAGTACTGCATTTGTTGTCTGGATCCAAAACGTGAACTAACTGAAGAATGTGTGTGTTGGCAAGGGTTACAGCAAAAAAGCTAAATCTGTTTTAGCTTTCTTGGGATCCCTCTCTATGGAAAGGCTGACAGAGAAGCTTTACTGTGTCAGCTTCCAGGTAATGCTGGGGAACAAGGAGAGCAAAGCTTTCTTTGCAGGCTTAGCATGCAATCCTCATCCCTCAATTGGGGTAAGATGAGGGGAGCATATCACCAGTGTTGAGAAAGGAGAGCATGGGGCCCTTTGGGCCCTCTCCTGCCATGCTCTTTCAGGTCTGGATGATCTGCTTTTGGATGTGGGCAAGTAGTTGCCACCACTGTGTAAGAAATACCCTCCCCATACACACACATACACACCACCCCCTTCACAGTTACTGCCCCTTCTTCACTCTCTTTATCACTTCTGCACGCTGCGAGGGACTGAGATTCAGTTTGTGCCTGTGCTGCTACTGCATCACCAGCAGAAGGGGCTGGTCAATACAGTTTACACCAGTGCACAAAGCAGGTTCTAGTCTGATTTCTGAACCCAGGACTTGTTGGCATATGTAGGTGTTTATTATCTCAGAAACTTGTTCTGGAAAAGTTTTGAGATTAAGAAATGCTCCCTTTTAAAATAACTTTTCTTAATAATACTGCACTTTAACCATCTTATCTCGTGAGATTCTAATGGGATGCTGCTGGAGCTCACAGGTATGATCAGTGGTGGATGGCAGACTGAGAAAAGGTGGTTCAGGATGCCAAGTCAAGTTCTTCAACTGGTGTGTGCTCCCTGGCTGCAATGATAAGAAAACCACTGTTTAGGAAAATATTTCCTATATTTATGTAGCTGGTATCCTAGTTTTAGCTCTGAAAATCAGGCTTATGTATACAGTTGTAGCGCCTTGCGTATAAGTGACCTTTTTTCTCTTCCAAGTGGATTAGCTTATGCGGGGTTCAG